AGATGATTTTTCAAGTTATCGGATCGAGCAAATTTCTTTGGGCACAGAGCGCACTCAAAAGGCTTGTCTCCGGTGTGGGTGCGGAGATGAGTTTTGAGGTTTCCGGCTTGAGAAAAGGACTTTTGGCATACCTCACACTGAAAAGGTTTCTCGCTCGTGTGCATTCGCATGTGTAATGTTAGATGGGATTGGCATGAGAAGCGCCTCCCAACACAAACGGTGCATGTAACTGTCATTTTGCTAACCAGGTTGGCCCCTGCTGGTTTATCTGTACAAAAGAAAAACTGAAGTAGTAATCGTCACTTTGCATCTGGTGCACGTTAAAGAAAGAACTAGTTATGTCAATTTCGTTGAAAGTAATTGTTAGGCCGGGAGAAAGGCAACCGGCTTCCCTAAGTTTTAAGACCCCGCCAGGCTCGCAGCCCGGCGCGGTGCAAAAGTGAATGATCAGCGTAATGAAATGAGGAACCCTACAACCCGTTCTGCTGCCTTAAATGAAATAAACGTACCGTAGAGTTAGATGAATTGAGACGATGCTTGCTACGATATCGAAGGCTGGAACTCAGCGAAATTCACACTGAAGTCGACAGCGACGACCCAAGCAAGTTAGGCTGAAAATACAGAAATGAAAACGTTATTAATTCACCCATTATTTTGATTGGGAAAAAATAAGAGTATATCAAATTGTGCTAGTACAATTGACCTAGTATGTCAAGGTGGTAATTCACAAGGAAACATATTATTTTAGTGGTAGCAGTCCTTACAATAGATGGTAAACGAGTCGTACCTTTCAACACAATACAAAAATCTCCCGAAAAAAGTTTACTAAGTAGATACGAATCTTTCCGCAAGATCGGGAGGTTTCGATAGTTCAGGATAATTCTTGAAATGTTTCAGTAATACTCCAAAGAAAAATTACATATTTCTAGCGTCTCCCTCGGGCGGGGCGGACCACGCAATACCCGACAGATTATTTCGGCGGTCGGCTTTATTCACCGCTGCCGCCGGGGGGTTTATATTTCCCGCGCGCCCAACAAGCCGTCGCGACCATTCAATCGTAAAGGCGTTTGACTGCACATGGGAAGCAGCAGCAGCAGCAGCTTGGTGGCGGCGCGGAGCTTACGGGGAGAGAGAGAGATTTGCGGGAGGGTGGCGGAATATGGCGAAGAGAGAAAGAGGGCGAGGAAAGAACACACGCAAAAGGCACGAGGGGAGGAAAGAGGTGGAGCGAGGGGGCACAGCGTCGCGTATAAATCCTTAATGGTCCGTACGCCTTGGCGGTTAAATGGAGATTAAGCGGTGGCCGGCCGGTCTCACCTGTGGGAGAAAGAGGGGGAAGAAGTAGGGGGGGGGGAGGGGTAGAAGAGGCAACAGCTGCGTTCCCACGCCGAGGAGGCGCAACCCGTCCGTCTGGGAGGCACAGCACAGCTGCGCGCCTAGCCCGGCCCTCCCGTAGCGCCCGGCTGGATAGGCAACATGCGACCGGCGGAGCGCACCGCTGTGCGACGGGTCGGCCTACCCACCAAGGCGCTCTGCTCCGCGGGGACCTGGCCGGCGGCAGCGCACCACGCGCGCCGCCCTTTTGTAAAGGGCCTCTAAAATTGATAACGGCAAAGTTGTTTTAATTCGAGGGGTCGCCAACTCTCCTGAGCCGTGTACGGAGTATTATATATTATAGGTATTATGGATATTATGGATATTATGGATATTATGGATATTATGGGTAATATAGTATCATGAAGTATTATGATGTATTATCAAGTATTATAAGGTATTATGTTCGTATTATGGTCCATAATATACACCCGAAAATCACTTATGACACGGAAATTTTTTAATTACTTAATACTCTTGAAGTTAGCGTGCACGCGCGTGAGGAAAGGGTATCTTTAGGGTCTGAAAGGGGTGGAAGCTTAGCAAAGCTAAGCACCTCACCGACTATACGAGTGTGTCCGAATTCTCCCTCGGAACGTTACGAAGTGGTACGAAGTGGTCCGTAGCGGTCCCTCCTCCCTGCCCCTCACCATCCTTTGCCGAGGCTACGGACTGCTTCGTAACGTTCCGAGGGAGAATTCGGACGGACTCTACTTGTTCAACCAGTGGCGTCTCTCTGAAGAATGCCCAGTTTTGGTACCATATAAAGCGGAAATTTGTCATTCTTCAGAAAGAGAAGAGATGTTTAGGATTGGCATTAAAATATAACGCGTTCAAAAGAGTTAAATTTCCTTTTAATACCCACTCTCTCCAGTTTTGCAGAATTTCGTTAGGGCTGAGAAATAGGTTGGTTGGAATTTTAAATCATGCACTGAGGAGATAGGCAAACCGCAAAACAGGATTTTTAGAAGTGGAAAAAAAGAATCATCTCGGGACACCTACACCACGTTTAGCTATGCCCTGCACAAAAAGCCTTTAATTAAAAGTCTTTTACCACGCCGTTTAGGTGTTAGGTGGATGTATGAGGTGAATGCTGGAAAAATTATATCAAGAAAATGACCCCTCTCATGATCTAGGTTTTGGGTAGAGAAAATATATGAATTGTGGTCATAGTGGCCCTGAGAGTGGGGGTCCACACTGACTCAGAATGGTAACCAAATTTTGGTTTTCACTAGCACATTATGAAATATTATTGGGTATTACAGAGTATTATGCGTATTATGGAGTATTATGAGAGTATTATGGAGTATTATGGAGTATTATGGGAGTATTATGAGAGTATTATGGAGTATTATGAAGTATTATAAGGTATTATGGGTATTATGATGGATTATGGGTATTATGAAGTATTATAATGGTATTATGGGACCCTGTACGGAGTATTATGCGAGTTGGCGACCCCTCGTTTTAATTTGAGTCATTCGTGAGCGCGGGGCGGCGGCCTGGCCCCAGGTGGGCGCGTGGACCCAGCCGCACGTCACAAGCGAGCCCTGCAGAGCCCGCGGAGCTTAGCAAACTTGGTCGCCGCCCTGCCCCTGCGTCCCGCCCGCACCGCGCCCCACCCTCCGCCCTCCGGGTCCTACCTGCCCTTCTCCAGACCACCCCGCTGCTGTTGGCTGGTGCCGACGATCCAACTCTAATGTTCGTTCCTCACCGGCATTAAGGCGCCCATTACTCATTACGCCCGGTAATTTGGACCCCGCGAGGCGAAGAGGGTCGCGCGCGGGCGCCCAACACGCTAAACCCTTATGCATCTCCGCGAGACTTGCAGTATTTTAAGCAGCCATGGTTGTGCTATAGGGATTCAAAAATCTGTCATTTTTTCGGGAAAATTCGTATTTTTTCCAAAAAGAATCGAAGGAAAATTTGATAAATTTTCAACTTTTGGGGGGGGGGGAATCTGACAACAATTTTTTTAAAAAGGTTTTCGGTTTTTCTTCCAAATATTTGTCCGGAACTGGTCCGGAAACTTAAAATCCCTGGATGCACAAATGGTGTGCGTACGCAAGGATAATAAATGTCAACTTAAATGTCACCATAAAGTTGTACGCGTCGAAGTACAATTTGAGAAGAGTTTTCGCTAGATAACTTGTGCATAACTATGGCGGCATGAAATAAAGTAGGTTATGCACGGTGAAACACGGGCCGCCAAGTGTCACCATATGATAAACATTTTGCTGTTGTTTTTTTTTTCCCCTTTGTTAATTGAGACAAGCAACAACGAAAAACACGCTGACGAATAGGGGATCACGGTATGCACTCTCTGCGGCACCGGCGGCGCGGCGGTACCCAACCGCTCCATACGACCATCGACCATCAGGGCAACCACCAGGGGAAAATGGAACGGACGGCGCAACTCGTTCCATCTCGAATATCGGACAGGCACCAGGCCTTGCTGCGCCGGGCTGCACCACCGTGGGGTAGGGTTTCCGTAATGGTCTCGTACGCGGGGATCCATCGTCCATTCGTGGCGCGGGCGTTGCGGACCCCGCCGTGTCTGCCAAGAAGAGCGTCCAGCAGACTCGAGAGAAAAAAAAACCGCCGGCGGCATCACATCCAGTCACCCCTCCTCCCTCCCCCC